ATGTGTTTATAAATATTTTAATGGATTCACGTGTTGAAGGGCAATGGAAGGGTTTATGGTATAAAAGCATATATATGTGTGGGCGAAGCTTTGAGCAATGATTCTGATGCAATTAAATATTGCTTTAAAATTAAAGGTAGGCATAGGCGAGATTACAGTTTAATTACAGTTTCTTTCAGATTAAAGTTAAATTTTATATTTGTGTACAACATTTTGAGCAATTCAATCAACTTTGCAATGGATTATTTACATGTAGAAAATATATAAGAAGAAATTTAAATATATGCAATTTAATGTTGTTTATAAATTAAATAATTGGTGCAGATGAAGAAATCATCCAATTCTTAAAGCTTTCAGTGTAAAATAGAATGAAATATTTAAATATATATAAATATTTATGTATATATATAAAATAGTCAATATTTAAATCTTAAGCTTAAGTCTATATTTCGATTTCGATATAACAGTTTTAATTTACTGAAAAGGAACACTGTCTAATATTCATTCCACCATATACAATTCTCCTACTTTGTCTCTGTTTCCTTCTACTTGCTTTCTATTTTGTCCCATAATAGCAAGTCTCTGAAAAGCTTCTCACTTCAGAGCTTCAACTCCAAGAGGAACTGGCTATCTCAGATAGTTAATATGGCTGCCATATTTAAGTAGCTATTCACAAAAATAAAAATTCAGCTACCTTTCTGCGACGCTTATTGTTAATTGCCGGAAGTGCGAACGCACAAGACTCCGGATAACGGACAGCGGAAAACGGACGATGGACGATGGTAAGCGACCTGACCGACCAGACCGGACTTCGTGATGCTTACGACCGCAGAGCCATGAATAGATTTGCATTTTAAATGTGCAGCTTTCAGTTTTTATTTGTGCGCCTTTTACTTATTTAAGCGCCGGCCTTTGTAAATACTAGTATAAGAAAAAAATGGTATATTTATATATATATATAAAGTGTAAAAAATGTTGGATGGCCAGCCGGTTTTTGGGTTAGGTAGGGCTCATTTCCTTTTGAATTGATTTTATTTTATTTTTTTGGGCAGTTCACACTAAATTTGACTTTATACGCAAAGATGTTCTCAGGTTAAATGGTGCAGAAGCGTTGTAAACTGTTGACTGGCCTAAGTAAAGCCAAAAAAAGGAAGAAAATAAAATATAAGTTCCGTTTCTATATATATAGTGTGTGTGTGTGTGGACTGTGCCTCTAGAGTTTCGCTCGACCGAATGCCAAATGTTATTTACATTTATTTTTGTTTTCGCAGCCAGCAAATAAATGTCAAGCTTCAAAAAATATGAAAAAGCAAAGAAGTAGAAAAAATAAAAAAATTATAAAAAATAAAAATAAAAAGTAAAAATTGCAAGGCAATTTTTTTTTGTGCTAGCTGACATTTCCTGAGCGCAATAGCATTAGAGTCACAGCTTTCTGCTTTTTATTTTTTTGGGGGCCAAAAAGTGTCAGCAAAATAAATGCATAAATAAGGATCAGTGCGTCAATCTACAATGACATTTCTAGCTGCAGCCAATGCCTTACTATGGCTTGCCATTGCCAATGCTTACCCAGTCAAGAGTCAATGCTGAAAAATATTCAATATTAGAGTCTCAAGGCAGCTGAGGAAGAAATAAGCTGCTATTCGCAGCAGCATAAAAAATGCGCACTGCTCCATTATTAAACTGTGTGTGTGAGTGTGTGTGTGTGTGAGTGTGTGTGTGTGTGAGTGCGCTCTCTCATGCTTGATAAATTGCAGCTGAGCGTTTGCTTGAAGGATTTGCTGCAGCTTTTTTGGTGTGAAAAACTTCTTATGCCTGCAGGGCGAGCTGAGTTGCATAGCGTAGACGTAGATAGTAGACGGATGGGCTGAGAGATAGATAGACGAACGAACGTACAGAGCGATAGACAGACGGACAGATAGATCGCCTTCCACACAGTCAGACATATCAAACTATTTTGCTGGCATTTGCACTGCTTTTGAACTGCTTGACTGAACTCTGTTTAAGAGAGGCAAAAATCATAGCATACTTTTGAGCGCACAGTTAACACTTCATTCATTAACTACATTTTAGTTAATAACTAAAGGTCTCTATGGTAGCTAAAGAAGGTTTTAGTTTAAAAAAACAAAATCTCGTCTACAGTATTTAACTGCCAAAGCGCAGCTGTGGTCATTGTTCTAGTTGACTTGGCTTACAGCAAGCTTGCATGTCAGCTCTGGTTGCCCTGCAGCTACGTTATGTGTGTGTGCGTGTGTGTCTTTTGGTATTATGCAGTCATAAATCTGTGCATTCAGCACAGCTCGGAATATTGTTGTTGTCATTGGCAACAGTCTGAGCGCCGCAGCAGTGCGTTGTCATGTTGCTCATATATATTCAAGATTGACATTGCGTTTATAAGTCTTGTTTTCTATTTTTTACAGCTTTTGTTGGTCATTTTCCACAGAAAAAAATATATACATATATGTTATGTGGATTCCTGGTGTATTTTAAGCTTACCTTTGAGTTAGGAAAAAAAAAGAAAAAACAAATTTAAATACCTCGCTTTTTTGTGTAGATTTTTTTTTTTGGATTGACGAAGCTTTCTTTTTACAAAAATATTCAAGTTGTTAGGGCAACCGTTTTAATATTTATTTTTAAAAAAAAAGAGAGAAAAAAAAAAAATAAATTGTAAGCGACAAATGTGTATATGAAATAGAATTTATTTTTATTATTTTCATTTATGGCTGTTAAATGCAAAATATTTGTGATTGAAAAAATCTGGTTAAAGTTCATAATGAATTGCTTTCTCGCTCAATGTATAAAGCAAAATTTTTGAAATATTCTATTTTGATTTCTATTTTATAAATTATATGCCTGCAAGTATTTATGCAAACCGATAACAAAAAATTTGTGCTTAAGCATCCGGGGACTATATTGCCTGAGTGTACATAGAATTTAAGCAACATAATTATACATAAATATCAAATAAATATTAAGCTCTTTATATTATAATTCCTCGAGGTGAATTTGCTGCAAAAAACATAATAGAAAATCTGAGTTAATAAGGCTAATAGGGTATTAAATGCACGCCAGACCTTAGATATTAATTTTTACTTATTCTCCCTACATTTTTCTGTTTCTCTCACGCCCCTTTTAACCAGTTTTTGCCAGCCACTGGGCAATACGATATATTTATGCAGCTGCTGAACGCCGTAAGGAAAAATCTGTTGCTGGGAAAAATTTCACATCAATTCATTTATTC